AAGATGGTGTGGCCTTTTGTGTGGTCGCAGTCTCCTTTCGTTGTATAGAAGTTGTTTGACCTTGTCTTCGAAACTTGGTCGTATTGGTAGGAAGACTTAGAGAAACACACCTAGTCCGGAGTCCATTGTATGCACGATCATTTCCAAAGTCGGACCGTGGACGAGGTACATTCCCAGACGTTTCGCCCGCATCGTCAGTGAGTCTCGCCATTCTTAGCACCACAGAACAATCCACAAACGCAACAACATTTAACCTAATCAAAACAAGCAGTACCACAATATTTGTGGGTTGGCCCACAAGAGACTATGGAATGGGAAGTCAGAGACTTGGTATTCGGGATAGAAACAGGATAGACGCGACGGAGACTGGAGCTAGTTGGCTGACAGTAGGCTTTAGCAGAGACGTGGTCCATGTAGCAAAGGCGTGACCATGAGACTTACTCAGAGGCTTTAACTCGAATTAGTCACCCAGACGCAGGGGAGGGCAAATAACGCCTCGAGTAGCACAGACGGGGTCGCAGGGGTCGAGTGAAATACGTGAACCAGAGAGAGAAAAGACAGATCTTACGGGACAAGAGAGAGACTGTGATAAGACCTAGAGAAGGACTGCGTAACAATATGGCAGACTATGATCAACATTCCCAGCACAAGGGTAAAGGGGTGAGGACGACAGGGTGGAGTGTAAAGGGTTTTCATTAATTCCGCCCAAATGGGCACACCACACTACATCTAAATAAACACAGTAAAAATTGTAACAGTGAAGGCGTGATAGGAGAATATATGAAATATGAATAGCCCAGGGCAGAAGCGGAAATACCACACCTGTTTAGCACACGTTTGGTCAAAGGATCGGTTTCACTTGTCTCTTTAACAAATTGCTGTGGTGCTAAGAATGGCCAGGCTCACTGACGATGCCGACTACGATGCCGGCGAAACGTCTGGAAATGTACCACGTCCATGGTCCGACTTGGGAAATGATCATGCATACCATGGACTCCGGACTAGGTGTGTTCCCCTAAGTCTTCCTACAAATATGACGAAGTTGCGAAAACAAGGTCAAACAACCTCTATAGTTTCCTGCTGTTTATAACATTATAGACGAAAGTATGAAGACCAAGATGGTGGCCT